TACTATTTTTACCATAGCATAGTCTAAAACTTATTAGTACTATTTTTACCATAGCATACAAGAAAAACATCATAATCATGTTTATTTGAAACATATCTGAAATAACCGACCACTAAAATAAGAAAATAGATTTTATAACGCGTTTCTTCAACTTAAAAATAAAGATACTATACTCTCTCATAGTGTTAAATCTGACTCAATCATGTTCAATACATATATGGTGGAATACTTTGTTCGCATAATAGTGAATCTTTAAAACTTTATTCCACTGAAGTGAAAATTCAAAAATATTTGTTTTTGCCAAAACAAATCTGAGCACTCGTCTAAAAGTCATGTTTATATATAGTTGGTGTATACAGCAATTTAGCTATATTTAGCTTCTTCATACACTAACAATAAGTATACATTGTCTCAGTGGAACTTAAGGAAGAGTACATATGGCAGGGTTGAAAACTTTAATGGACTTCAACTGCCTGTTGAAAGGAAAGGAGAAGCCTGAAGAAGACCTCAGTATAGGAGACGAAACGTCATCTCCTTTTCTTTCAACAGGCAGTTGCAGTCCATTAAAGTTTTCAACCCTAATATGTATATATATATACCTCTATATTAAATATTATATGTAGTACATTGGTACCTGATTATGACAAAACCTTGTCGAAACGTTGTACATTTGCTGTCATGTTAAAGTTATATTAAAGTTTTTCTTCATTACCCATTTAAGCCGTCTCCAGCCATTATTAAGCCGTCTCCAGCCATTATGTAGTACATTAGTTTCAAACGTCCGACTTACATTAATACCGTTGCTTTCTATATATTAATTTGATTACATAAATGTCGGTAAAGTTATAATTTTACTTCAAGTATATTACAAGTATAGGAAATTTGAAAAGTTATTTAAAAATTATTTAATTAATTAATTCACTTTTAGATTCACATAATGATCCCTGAAATTTGAAGATAAATTAATCCATCGTCATCATCATCGCTATCATACAATGTGTAGATAAATCAGATAATGTTGTAAGTGAAATATTTTTTATCAAACAAACAAACTAAACATCAATTCATTCAATATCAATTTTTGTTTCTCTTCTATGGAAGACCTAATAGCAATTTATACAACCTTTATCGTTGTGCTTATCGGACGTTTGTACCTAATAGCAATTTATACAACCTTTATCGTTGTGCTTATCGGACGTTTGTACCTAATAACAATTTATACAACCTTCATCGTTGTGCTTATTGGACTTTTATACTTTATAGTAATTTATACAACCTTTATCGTTGTGCTTATTGGACTTTTGTACTTAATAGTAATTTATACAACCTTTATCGTTGTGCTTATTGGATTTTTGTACTTAATAGTTATTTATACAACCTTTATCGTTGTGCTTATTGGACTTTTGTACTTAATAGTTATTTATACAACCTTTATCGTTGTGCTTATTGGACTTTTGTACTTTATAGTAATTTATACAACCTTTATCGTTGTGTTTATTGAACTTTGGTACCTAATAGCAATTTATTACATTTTAATAGTTCTGTTTATTCGACTGATGTATTTGTAATAGCAACTTCTATTTTCAATGATGTGTTTGTTCGAATGATGAAATAAAATAGGAATATATTCAATCATCATTGTTGTATTTATCAACTGATGTACTTGATAGGAATTTATTCAAAGTTTTTACTGTGTTTAACTTCTTGATGTACATTTTAGATCTTTTTTATTTCTTGAGGTTCATGTTTTTTTGCATTGTTGGACAGAACGATCACTGCCATACAAAGTGTTTCTGTATCTTGTACTCTTAGCACACTATCTAAAATTTGAACTTTTGAGAACTAAACAAAGACTATAATGTGTCTTTGTATCATAAAATAGTTACGCTTTTGTTATTATCAATTATTTTTCCTTTTAAAAACGTGTTTATTGTGCTTTTTTGTAGCATTGGCACATCTATAGATGGCTGATGTTAGACCCAGTCCATCATTAGCAGGCCTTACCGATTGTGATGTAAGGGTTAAGGTAGTTAAATAACTTTAAGTAAAGGTTTTTATAGTCGATATCTAATCAGTGCTTATTCCTTACTACCCAATCCATCATCAGCAGGCCTTACCGATTGTGATGTAAGGGTTAAGGTAGTTAAATAACTTTAAGTAAAGGTTTTTATAGTCGATATCTAATCAATGCTTATTCCTTACTACCCAATCCATCATCAGCAGGCCCTACCGATTGTAATATAAAGCATAAGGTGGTTAAATAACTTTAAGTAAAGGTTTTTATAGTCGATATCTAATCAGTGCTTATTCCTTACTACCCAATCCATCATCAACAGGCCCTACCGATTGTAATATAAAGCATAAGGTGGTTAAATAACTTTAAGTAAAGGTTTTTATAGTCGATATCTAATCAGTGCTTGTTCCTTACTACACAATCCATCACCAGCAGGCCCTACCGATTGTAATATAAAGCATAGGTGTTAAATAACTTTAAGTAAAGGTTTTTATAGTCGATATCTAATCAGTGCTTATTCCTTACTACCCAATCCATCATTGGCAAATAAGCATTGATTAGATATCGACTATAAAAACCTTTACTTAAAGTTATTTAACTACCTTAACCCTTACATCACAATCGGTAAGGCCCCTTACTACCCAATCCATCATCAGCAGGCCCTACCGATTATAATGTAAAGCATAAGGTGGTTAAATAACTTTAAGTAAAGGTTTTTATAGTCGATATCTAATCAGTGCTTATTTATTACTAGATCAATTGATCTTAATGAAAGTACTACCTGCCGATCCAAAAAACATGTCAAAAGGAACCGAACTTGCTCTGATTTAAAACCTGTTGGTGTCAAAGTATAGAGAATTATATTAGTTTCTACTTCAAAAGTTATTTTTACGTCATACCCATGAAACATAGCTTATGGGTAATTCCTTACAATCTTCTCCGGTCAACAGTTCTAAATTTGGGAGTGAATACTTTTGGTTTCTGACTTGGCTGGCCGCTTAGTCCGTGTGTCACATAAGGTTCCGCTCAGGCTTAAGATTCCAATTTTTACAAAATATCTGCACACGTTAGCTTGTCAGAAATTTATATATAATATGCAATCTGAAATACCTGTCAACTGACGGGAATGTTCAAAGTTAATTAAAACGATGTACGTTTAACAGTAATCACCTATTTCAGAGCAATAACTAGAATATAAACTTTATCTCAAAATTTTAAAATTATAACAAAGCTTCTTCATAAAAAACATTTGCAGTTTGCTTTCTATTTACCAACAAATAAAGATTTTGAGTGATCCCACCCTTAAACACCTTACATCTCATTGACCATGAGAAAAGCACGGTTGTTTGAGAAACAATCCAGCAACCTTAATATTTTGACCTTGAATCCCTTTAGAATATTCAACATTGTCTAAAGTGTCAACCTCCCAAGATTGTTTGAGATTGACTTAATAGGCTGGAAGTAATTAACCAACAGGCTTTACAAAATAGAAATAGCCCATCAGTGGCACAGCGGCATGTCTGCGGACTTACAACGCTGGAAACCGGGTTTTGACACCCGAGGTGGGCAGAGCACAGATAACCCATTGTGTTGCTTTGTGCATAACTTCAAACAAACAAAATAGAAAAAAGGTTAAGTTCAATTTTGACCCACTTAGAATATTTCCCATAGTTCATAGTATGTACATACACATTTTGGTTAAGATTTGGCCCAATATGCTCGGAGGAGTTAGGTTGCAAACAAACACACATTTCATCTTTATATATATATACTAGCTGAGTTACCCGGCGTTGCACGGTGAACATTTAGATTTGAAATGTATAGATCAGTATTTTTTTCAGCAAATTATTTAGTAAGTAGACAAAAGCTGTGATTTGAAAAATAAAAAAGCATTTAATCAAACAAAGCTTTATTTGAAATTAGATCGTGTTTGAGCTTATATTGTTCTTTGAGCCTGAAGTCGTACATCATGTTGCTCCTCTGTTTCTTGCTCTCTGTAAGTTATTTGTCTTAATTTTTTGTGCTTGAAGTCTGGTTTGACGTTGTTCAGAAGTTTTTGTTGTTTATATCCAGCTTGCCTTGATGATTCTGACTGAACTCTGCCTTTGTGCTGTTCAACAGTTTCTTGCTGTCTTTGAGTAGCCTGCCTTTCAGCTTGAGCTCGAAGTCTAACTTTATGTTGTTCCAAAGTCTCTACCTGTATTTGAGCAGCCTGTCTTGCAGCTTGGGCTTGAAGTCTTTGATTGCGTTCTTCTTCTGTTTCAGCTGCTCTTTGTGCTTGCATTCTTTTAGCGGCAGAAGACTTTCTATAGAAAGAGCGTTTCTTGGGTGGCATAATCACCTGTATCGCTAAACAATAATTTGCAATTCACAAAGTTACTAAATCACTTATGAAACCACTTAGCACTATTTAAAGAAAACTGTTTTTGGAAATACCGAATTGACAGCAAGGTGATCTGAGTGTCTCCCGCCATAACGCTTTCCATGTGCAAAAAAACGTGCTTATGTTTGTATGTTTATTACAAGAAAATGGCGCAATAATCATTAATTGTCAATTTCGTCATTAAATACTACACCAAATACAAAATAAATAGCACCATTAAATTTCTTGTAAAAAACTGGTTATTTTGAAGTTATTTTAAAATTTGTAAGTTCAACCGTTTGGTTTCCTACAGCGAACAAAATAAACAAATAAACAAACTTCCTCTTTTATATATATAGATGTATATCATTGTCTAGATTTATTGCAAGCAAAGTTCAATGATTACTGATATTCATACGTGTATCTACTTCTATGTCCCCCGATGGGACAACGGTACGACGCTAAAATCCAAGGTTCGATTCCCCTCAGTGGCTTTGCTCTAAAACAAACAACAGCTATTTCTAGTTCTTTAAACTGCGAAACATGCGATAAGTAAACTTAGTGGGTTGCATTTGTTGTTGTTTAATGTATGAAACTATTTAAAAAACATTTTTTATATTGCAGAGAGCAGTCACATGGTTGTACTTACTGGAGAACTTCTTATTACCGTTGTTAGTCAGAATGATTTATTGCTTAGTGGAAAACATCGCTACTTTTGTCAAACAAAACACGTCATTAGTGGAGAATTAAAACGGAGTATAAATGGAGGACGTCTCATAATTTCTGGTACGTACATGATTAAGTCACTGAAATAAAAAAAAGATATAAAATAAGAGCAGTTAGTGTGATAAGATCAAACTCTTCATTCCTGTGTTAAAACTAATGGGTTATTTGTATTAGCTAACTACTTACACCCGGTTGTCAGTTGCATGGCTTCATCAGCTATTTTCACTTGTATAAAGTATTTTCGTATTTTCGGTCTATCTTTTTGTTGAAGTGCATCCCCAAATAAAAACCTCAGTATTATTGCGGAAATAGACTAAAGTGTTTTGTTTGTTTGTTTGTAATTAAGCACAAAGCTACACAATGGGCTATCTGTGCTCTTCCCACCACGGGTATATTCAGACATACCGCTGTTCCACTGAGGAGGGGAGACTAAAGTGACAATACGCCCGGTGAGTACATCACAGATAGCTCAATGCGTATCTTTGTGTTTAATAACAAACAAACAAACATACTACAGAATATGTTCATTCGTTATTAGAAATATTTAGTTGTCAAATATTTATGTTTTTGAAATCTTTCGGTGAGAATACAAATTCGATGAATCATCTAAGTTGTTATTGTTATTATTTAATCTCTTATTAATGTAAGTCACAATTGAAGAGTGCATGAGCCCTACTTATTTAAGCATTAAAATATGTAAGGTAGCGTAAACTTTCATTTCCTTCTTTCTTTGATTATCAAACTTTCTGTTTCAGAACCTCACAGCAACTTTCCTCCTAGAATCAAAAATAGTAGGCAACAAATCCAGGTGAAGGAGGGAGAAACGGTTCATCTTCCTTGTACTGCAGAAGGTTATCCCGTCCCTTCGTATCAGTGGTTTCAGCAGGACGGTTCCAAGTTTCGTAATATACAGCCAAATGGAAGGATCGACATCCATATGGGGACGTTAATGTTAACGCCGTCTCGAGTCTGGGACACGGGTCAATACGTATGTGTGGTCAACAACAGCATGGGAGAGCAGCGCGTGAAAACAAAGCTGTTAGTCACGGGTAAAACATCTTTATAGAATTGTTATCTGCCTTTATATATGTATAATGATGCACGTGAAAACGAAACTGTTTGTCACGGGTAAAACGTCATTGTATGAGAGTTGTTAGCTACCTATATATATATATGTATGTATAATGAAACATTAATGAATTATCAGTATTTCTTAAAGAAGTGACATGTTTACATTTGATAATTTATATATCTACAATGGTAAGGCTCTGACCAGCAAAATATGGAACTTTGCATAAAATAACGTGCATTATTTCATCTTCTTTCTTTTTTTAATGAGGTAATCGAATTTCTAAGGTTTGTCATGTTAAAAACAAAGAAAACAACTACCATAATATAATATCACCAAAACAGAATATAATACCATAATATAATACCACCGAAAATACAAAATATAATACCACCGAAAATACAGAATATAATACCATCAAATTCAGAATATAATACCATCAAATTCAGAATATAATACCATAATATAATACCACCAAATACAGAATATAATTCCATAAAATAATACCATCAAATACAGAATATAATAATATAATATAATACCACCAAATTCAGAATATAATACCATAACATAATACCATCAAATTCAGAATATAATACCATAATATAATACCACCAAATACAGAATATAATACCATAATATAATACCAAATACAGAATATAATGCCATAAAGTAATATCATAATATAATACCACCAAATACAGAATATAATGCCATAAAATAATACCATCAAATACAGAATATAATAATATAATATAATACCACCAAATTCAGAATATAATACCATAACATAATACTACCAAATTCAGAATATAATACCATAACATAATACCACCCAATTCAGAATATAATACCATAACATAATACCACCCATTTCAGAATATACCACCATAACATAATACCACCAAATTTAGAATATAATACCATAACATAATACCACCCAATTCAGAATATAATATCATAATATAATAACATCCAATTCAGAATACAATACCATAACATAATACCACCCAATTCAGAATATAATACCATAATATAATACCACCAAATTCAGAATATAAAGATGTACCTGATCACACTGAGACTCTTGATTTAACTCTTAGCGAATATCTGGACACTACACAGCTGACTCCTCTCCATTGTACGTATAAAAACAAATTAATCTACCAACAACAGCGCCTTACTCCAGTAAAGGAGCTTTTGTTACTAAAATGATATGAACATACGTTTCTTAGCTGTAGCTATCACCCATTAAACAAACAATTTATCCACATTCTGCTTGAAAACTTTGACATTGTAGAGTAGGACAGTATACAGGTTGAATGCTTTCTTAACCTCTCATCTCTTCTAATAGAGGTACTGCATCAGGGACCTATTAGTTCGTAACCAAACAACCGAACTCTCCTGGCACACACACACACTGCAATTAGTAAATGGAACACATGTCCTTACAATGATCAGATAACATTAGTAAAGAACATTAAGTAAACTTATTCCATTAAAATTTGTTTCACCTGCACTTAGTTGCCTAATCTATTGCACAGTTTATTATTTCAGCAAATCTGACCAGGGTACAAAACATTTTAATGTGATTACTTTAACACATCTTTCTAAGAACACAGCTAAGAGGAAAAGAACTGATCTTTAAACTGGCTGTTTAAATCTTAGCATCATGAATGAATGTTTTTATTTCTTATGAACTCATCCCTCCATTAGTTTATAGCTCCATCTGCTACCGTGTGTGTGTGTATATATATAGATATATAGTATATTGAACTTACTATTCTGGTTATTTTCAACATTTCTTGTGCTACTTGTAATAATTTTCTGCTTGTTGTTTGTTTTTTCTCATCCTAAAACAATTGATCTTGTCATGGTTTAATAGTTGAACTGCCATACTAGATCATTACTGTATATCTTAATTATATTAAGTTTTGTTAGTGTAGCAAAATATAAATTTTACCGCAACATTCTTATGGGAAGTTTTTACAAACGTATTTATTTAAATTTATAAACATAGGTGCTAATGGTTACCGTATTTTGCTTATCAGATATTGTATCTAATTATTTGATACTCTTGTTTTGTTCTCCCGTTTTTCAGCTCCACTCTCAGTGCTCGTTTTACCTGAATCTATTAAAGTGCAAGATGGGCAAACTGTGGTAATGAACTGCAGCATTACCGGCTATCCTGTTCAGTCTATCGTTTGGCTTAGGAACCAGCGCCCTCTATTGGCAAATAATCGAGTTCATTATTTAACAAGAGAGGTCTTGGAAATTAGTCCTGTTTTGCGAGAAGACAAAGGAATGTACCAGTGTTTTGTGTCAAACGAATTTGAAAGCGCGCAAGCATCAAGAGCTTTGTCGCTGGGAGGTAATTCAATAAACGCATTTTATTCAATTAATAAAAGCCTTAGAAAAATCCATTTTGGACAATTTATTTTATTCAAGAGCCTGGAAAGTTGTCCAACTTATAGACATATCGAACCTTTCAAATTAGGAAAAATTTCAGTATTTTCGATTTTGACAAGATTCCTTCACTGTTATTAAAAGTTTTTTAAGCTTGAATAAATATATAATTGGTGAAGGAAGTATCATATTTTTATTAACACTGTTGTTTTCATCGTTTTATATAATATTGAAATAAATCAATTATTAAAATATGTTAATTAAAGTTTTTATTAAGTTGTACTTAATTGTTCGTTTTAACTTAAATATAATGTATATATGTGCTTTTGTTTTACTTTTTAGGTTATATTTCAAAAAATAGGTATTGAAAACGCTTCTAAATTGTTTTAGTTCTTTCCTTTCTATTATTTTCTGTTTGTTTTCCCTGTTTGATGTGTATACTTTCCCTAGAATTGATCTATATTCTTGTTTCCATGGTTGTCGCATCAATCATTTTAGAGCATGACCAGGGTTGACAAGGCTGACTTATAGATTATACATCATGATGAATGGGTTTTGATTTACAGATGATCCTCCGGGCTTTTCTTCAACCTTCTCTTCAGAAATCTTAGCTCCAGATGCATCTGTGTCTCTCAAGTGTGTTGCTACAGGCAGCCCTTTGCCACAAATAACATGGTTTCTAGATGGCGCACCAATCAACGAAAACCTCAGGTTTCGAATCGGGGATTTCGTCACTAATGATGGTTACGTCAACAGTTTTGTAAACATTACGTCGTTAAGGACTGAAGACGGTGGAATTTATAAATGTGTTGCACGCAACGCTGTAGCCACTCTATCTCATTGGGCGAGATTGAATATTTATGGTTCACCTTATGTCAAGCCCATGAACAACGTCTCTGTCTTGGTTGGGGATACGTTTGAACTTTCGTGTCCATATGCTGGGTATCCTATTGATTCAGTAACCTGGCATAAGGGTAAGTATGTGATAAATAAATATTTGGGTCTTCTGTGGGGCATGATTTCCGTGTGGTTTAAATAAAGGGAAACTAACAAGAAGAAGAATATATATTCATAATACCCAATTTAATTATTCGCTTGTAATAATGAATTACTTATCACTAAATTTAGATTCTTTCGAGTGTTAAATAATTCCATATACTGAAAAGTATGTATGAAAAAAAAAACTTACTTCTGGAACAAAAATGTCAGAAGTACAAGAAAATAGTTAGTCGTTTTACATAAGATAACAACGAGTACAATCTAAGATTAACGACATAATATCATTTTGTTTGGTAGGTCAAGAATAGCACCATGAGAAATATATACATTACTTTATTCCTTATGGAAGGAAACAGTAATGATTCTTAGAACAATAATCAGCAAAATTTAGAAAGGAACAAGTTCTTAAAAGCCAAACACAGTAATCCTTTTAGAGCAACACAAAAGATAGCCAATTAAATTATTTTTGGAACAACACAAAAAATAGCCAATTAGATTATTTTTAGAGCAGCACAAAAATAGCCAATTAAATCTTTTTAGAGCAGCACAAAAAATAACCTATTAAATCCTTTTAGAGCAGCACAAAAAATAGCCAATTAAATCCTTTTAAAGCAGCACAAAGAATAGCCAATTAAATCCTTTTATAGCAGCACGAAGAAAAGCCAATTAAATCTTTTTAGAGCAGCACAAATTATAGCCAATTAAATAATTTTAGAGCAGCACAAAGAATAGCCAATTAAATAAAATATTAATAGTTATGAAATTTGAATTGAAGCTATGTTGTTATTATATGTAATTGAATCAGTTTTTATAAGTGTTTTTACTCGTCTAATTTGTTTTATTAAAAGCAACTATTTTCCCATAACTAGCTGGTAACAGTAAACAAAGCAAATAATTACAATCCAGTGCAGTTGATTTTTTAGTATTTTTTTAATTACTTTTTTCCCTTTCTAACTCGTTATAATGAAAATCTGAATTGCATAGGAGGCTTATCACTTCCTCAGAGTGGTCGACAAACCGTTCATCCTAACGGAACTCTATTCATCCAAGATATGGAAAAGAAAAGTGATGAAGGTGCATATAGTTGCATAGCGACCAATAATAAAGGAGAAAGTTATTCTGAAGAAATCAATGTCAAAGTACTTGGTAAGCCACTTCTTTTGCGTAACAGTTTTCAGCCAGTAACTTATCCTACCATACAGATGAGATTGTTAAAAAATTTTCTCGATCGTTAATCATTTCTAACCATTTATTCATCATTTTACGAAGTGCAGAAGTTTAACATATATTTTATCATCTTTATATACTTTAAATCAAACAGCTATGAAACATACATGTGGATATATATATATATAAAACTTTAGTTTTCAAATATCTTTAATACGTGTATTTAATAGTTTATTCAGACACTTTGTATCAACTAAACACTAAAATAATAAAAAACAAATTATTTCAAATTATTTATGGTTATATGTATAAACAAAGGGGGCAAACTAAAATATCGCCTTTACCTCCACAATCCCTCCGCTCCTTATCTGCCTTCTTATTGATTAGGCTACATTTAAAAACCTCAAAATTTGTAGATCATTTGTGAGAAATGTCTTGCATTACTGATGCAGTTTATAGAGTAACTAATACATTCATTTTTATATATTGTATTCCTATAGTTTGCAACTATTTATAAGTTATATTACCACAAATTAGCATTAGATAATAGATTTATCATATTATTATTGCATCAATTATCGATAGAATAATATTCGAGAAAAATAAAACAACAACACAACGTCTTGATATAACGTATAATTGTACACATACGACCTCCTTTAAGACTTTTAGATCAATACCATCAGTTGTATTTGGCTGGGTTTGTATACGTCGAACTTGTAGTCTGTGTGAAACTATAAGAAAATCAAGATTATATACCATGAAATGACTATTTACAATAGAAACACACGTATTATTTTGTATATATATATGTATACATATATTTCATTAATTTATTATGTATATGTATACATACATATATTTATTTATTTATATTCATATCCATGTACAACTGGGAAATTCAAGATACTACATTCATGGCTAGTTTTGAAATTCAGTAGTTTAGCATCAGATCTTCAAAACTTATAATCCTAAAATTATACTCTTTATTCACAAACTTCGACGTATTGACTGAATACATTTAATGTTATACCAAACCGATGAATTTTCAATTACACATTTACAAATAAACAAAAACTTTAAATGATGTAGTAGTATGTTTTACATTGCTAATTTGAGAAAAAAATGTTCAAAATTGGTAAAACACACGTCTATAACATTGGTAAAACACACGTCTATAACACTGGTAAAACACACGTCTATAACATTGGTAAAACACACGTCTATAACACTGATAAAACACACGTCTATAACACTGGTAAAACACACGTCTATAACATTGGTAAAACACACGTCTATAACACTGATAAAATACACGTCTATAACATTGGTAAAACACACGTCTATAACACTGGTAAACACACGTCTATAACATTGGTAAAACACACGTCTATAACATTGGTAAAACACACGTCTATAACACTGGTAAAACACACGTCTATAACATTGGTAAAACACACGTCTATAACACTGATAAAACACACGTCTATAACACTGGTAAAACACACGTCTATAACATTGGTAAAACACACGTCTATAACACTGATAAAATACACGTCTATAACACTGGTAAAACACACGTCTATAACATTGGTAAAACACACGTCTATAACACTGATAAAATACACGTCTATAACATTGGTAAAACACACGTCTATAACACTGGTAAAACACACGTCTATAACATTGGTAAAACACACGTCTATAACACTGATAAAATACACGTCTATAACACTGGTAAAATACACGTCTATAACACTGGTAAAACACACGTCTATAACACTGATAAATACACGTCTATAACATTGGTAAACACACGTCTATAAC